ACGCACGAAGATTTTTGCGCGCTGTGTCGCGAATGTTGGCAGCAAAAATATGGTTTCGTAGTGATAGACAAGGACAGTTCTATGACCAATGGACGATATCGGCGGGGATTTAACGATTTTGCAATACCGTAACGTGACCATTTGTCGTTTGTCGTCAACGAGGAAACGTCTAACACATCGTAATGGTGACGTTAGATTACACAGAGATTAGCAACTCAGAGATTAAAGATGGTGAGAAGATGGCGAAAGAAATTGCGAAAACGAGCGAATCGACCCGTAAGAAATATCGAGCTTTGAAAACTGGCAAGATAGAGGAAGATACTGCGTTCGAAAGACACTTTCGACCTATTATCGAGCCTCTGAGACAGATTGTGGAACATTGTGGACGCGTTGTTCGCATCGAAATGTGGATCAATAAATTTGGTGTTTCGCTCCAAAAGAGGGGACGACCGACGATGGACTATTACACGTAAAGGGGAGTACTCAAAAATTATGTACACGATAACACTCTGTGCATGGGCGCCTCCGATTTTGATGCGAGGTCGCGCAAGATACGACGCGTAGCGCAACCGAAAGTCGACAGTGACGCCGTCAATAGACTATACGTGGAAAAAGGTTTTGCTACATTTAGAGAGAAACAGCAAGGATTTGAGAAGAAACAGGAGGAATTTGAGAAAAATCTGATCAGACTTCATGCTGAAACACGTGCCATATGGAAGAAAGTGTTTGTAGCGCGAGAACGCGTTGAATAGATGGAATTTAAAACGATACGCTCGCAGTTTCGTCATTCGTGATTAGGCGACCTTAGCGATCAAACATGCGGAAAACTGGTGGAGATGGGAAACAACACAGCTCCGAAAAACAACGGTTGGTGGAGGAGTTGCATGCTCCTGCGAGAAGACATTTTCCTCGTAGACGCGTCATTGTTGACACGCGGATACGATGATCTGTGGCAGGCCGATGTAGTGGAGATGCGTCCGTATTCGCGGCTCAACGGTGGCTACCACTATATACTCACCGTTATCGATGTGCTGAGTAAGTATGCTTGGGCTATGCCGCTAAAGACTAAGAGCAGAAAGGAGGTGGTCGAGGCGTTCGGCAAGATAATTCGAAACAGCGGAAGATGTCCAACAAATTTGCAAGCAGACCAGAGGAAGGAATTTTACAATGCCGATGTGCAGAGACTCGCAAAGAAACACAACATCAATCATTATTCGACGTACTCGGTTATGAAGGCTTCTGTCGTGGAACGATTCAATCCTACGCTGAAGAATGACATGTGGAAAATGTTTACATTACATGGAACAGATGGATCGACTCACTACCGCGTCTCGTGTCGCAGTACAACGGGCGCAAGCACCGAACCATCGGTATGCGTTCTGTCGATGTGACTACGATCGCTAAAAAACTCCTCGATAGGATCTACAGCAACGTAAAGATTGCAGCTCCGGCGAGATTCATAGTGGGCGATCCGGTGCGCGTGAGCAAGTTCAAGACTGTCTTTGCTAAAGGCTACACGCCCAATTAGACTACTGACAAGTAACACTAGGGAAGTGATAATCGCCGATTTTTTTGAAACTGCGAATAAAAGTAGCTCTTCAAAAACTATTAGACACGTATTTTTTTGTTTTTCCCCAAAAACGAATTTTGGGGTAGAAATCGCCCCTACGAATTTTGGTGGGGGGGTAAGAGGTACTTTAGAAACTGTTTGTAGGATTCGTATGAAATTTAGTATCTAGGGCTTTCTGGCCTCGCTGATTTCGAATTTGAAGTCAGTTTTTGAAAATTCAAAATGGCGGATCCAATATGGCGGACGGATTTTCATTTTTTTTAAGGATTTCTATGAAACATGGTATCTAGGAGTTTTTGGCCTCGCTGATTACGAATCAGAAATTTTTTTGAACTACTTTTAGCATTATCCAAAAACAACGACGTGAACTAGCTTTTTGTTCTCATTGGGGTGCTTTATTAAAAGTGAGTCCCATTGCCTCTCACTTTTCGGGAGGTTTTTACTGTGAGTCCCCTTGCCTCTCACAATATCGGGAGTTTTTTGCTGTGAGTTCCCTTGCCTCTCACAATATCGGGAGTTTTTTGCTGTGAGTTCCCTTGCCTCTCACAATATCGGGGGTTTTTTTATGTGAGTTCCCTTGCCTCTCACTTTTCGGGAGGTTTTTGCTGTGAGTCCCCTTGCCTCTCACTTTTCGGGTACTCTATAAAATTGATGCAATAATGTGGAGGGTTATCATCTGTTATTGCAAAAAAGTGTTGCATGCACATTGATGCATTACACCAAGCACATCTAATTAGTCTAACATCTTTGCAAAATTTACAGATGATATTGCAATTTTTGAGACAGAAATCTACGGGAGTTTCGCATTTTTCTGGTTTTTCTACAATATACCCACTTTTCCACCAAGCGTATTTGAACAAATTTCGAAATTTAGGAGAGGTAATTTATTATGGATTAAGGACTGTATTTTAAGGACATTGTTTCTCAAGTGTAAGTTGACATCATAGCCATATAGAATTATGTCTGAAAATTGTCTTACAAAATTTTTCCATAATTTAAAACCGTAAACTTCCAGTGGCTGAATTAAGCCAGTAGTTTCAGCTAGAATCGTCAGAATTTTGACACTTTTATTTCCTCTATCTATATTGTCAAATTTGATTTTAGTTTGGCCAGTCAAAGAATCTAATAAAAGAACGGAATTCGTTCTAGCATTTGGTAAGAAAACATCAGAAAACCATTTAATGGCAATATCTGATGTCAATTTCCCTGATTTTGACGCTAAGGCGACGATGTTTTCTGCCTTATATAATGTCTTTTCAACAATTGGTTTAAATTTGCCACCTGTTCCTTGTAAGACTATTAGCATAGGTGACTTTAACTCTCCATCAGCGGAAACAATAGGTTGAATGGTGTAACTATGAGTTAAAGAATTCAAGGACTTTGCTAAACATTCGACTTTCATGGAGCCTTTCAAAGCAAGTGTTCGTCCGGCATGCGTTTCTAAATTAAATCCGGATTGATCGGAATTAAATACATTGTTCTCACCTACTAATAAAACCTCTGATTTCACTTTAGAAACAAATTCATGAGATTTTTGTATAATCTCTGCCTTTGCTGACACATATTTTTGGGTTACAAACTTATTTATTTTTCTTGACACAATGCCATGTTTGATTTTAAAATTATGCACCCAAAAAGTTGACGCAGAAAATAATTTAAGTGACAAATCAACTTTTTCACGAGCCTGTAGAGCCCATCTTTTCAAATCATTATCATGGACTGGAAGCGATTTTTCAGTGGCAAGTTTAAATTGATCCAAGACATAATTAGAAATTTTTAATAATTTGTCACTTCTTGTACCACCCATTTTAATTTGTTCCTCCCATTTATACAATGTATTCGGGTTTGAAACTTTATTAAAATTGTGTTGAACTGTTTTGAAGGACAAATTTGTTTTCTTTCCCGAACGCCAAAAGTTTACAGCATTCCTTTTATATTCAATATCTACATCTACTTTCATTTTCTTGCCATCCTTTTTTATTGGCAAGACTTCAAAATCATTTTCATAATCCTCATCAACAAGAACTGCATCAGGATTGGCACTATTTTCATTAAAACTTAAGCTATCAAAACTTTCAAAGAATATTTGGGTGTCAACAGATTCTTTGATTAAATTCCCTAAATGAAGAGCAAATAATCTTTCTTCTTCTATAATTACTGTTTCCAGATTGTATTCTGGACGATTAAAACTTTGTTGTAATAAGAGAACAATATTTTTTGGGTTCATCGACATTTTTGAAGGTTTTTTTCCTTTGACCAATGATGGCGTTAGTTTAAAATTAAACTTATCTAATATTGAGTTTTAAAAAGTTCTTCTTATACTGTAAAAAAAAGAAAGTAAAAACCAATACTTACCTGCTATTGCAGTATAAATACAACTGAATTAAATGTACTATGCTATTAAAATGTTAAAATATTATACTATTTAAATGTATTATATTCCGCTACGCCGATTCTGGACAGACCGATTCGATCTTACGTGTAAGCAGATATAGCTGCTGGGCTGACTGACATCTACAAATGTATGCTATGTGGCACAACCAATACTTACCTGCTCTTGCAGTATAAATACAACTGATTTAAATGTGTTATAAAGATTAAAAAATATTCAAGAAACATAAGACGTCTACTTTATTATTTTAAAAATGAATCTTACATGTGAGAAGATATGGCTGCTGAGGTGACTGACATCTACAGATACTATAAGGAACTGGTGCTTGAACTCACTTGCGAATTATTAATAAAGACCAAGAACCTAATAATTAAAAGAAC